CGTGGAGGCCGCCGGAGGAAGCCGATTGAGATGCCCGCCTGGCAGGCATTCTATGGAGAAGAGGCATCCATGCGAGGTCGAAAGAGGAAGTGGCGGCCCTTTGAAAACTCCAGGCTGGCTGCGAACAACAGCGCGGCTTGCGACACTGGGCAGATTAAATCATAAACAGAAAGGAGGAGAATTTAGGGTCCTTTTTTTTGCATACAGCTCTTTCAATACCGGGTAGAGGATTCTGGGAGTTGTAGTTCCAGAGCTAGATAAATCCAGTTCTTTGGTCTCGTGGAGGAGCCCACTGACTAACATGGACTTAGTTATAAGAACGCTGATGTCACCTCCTGCCATGGATTCAATGGGCCCGCTCTGTTTGGGATCAATGATGGGATTAGGGTTCTCAAAGGGAACTTTCCCATGCTGTTCAGAAAACATAAAAAGTCAAGGAACCAGTGAGAGACGTAAAGTAGGTAGTTGTACACTCAAAGGCTTTCACGACCGGGATCCGATGGTGGTTGTAGGTTTTTCGGGCTATTTGGCCGTGTTGCGAAGGTTTTCTTCCTAACATTTTGCCAGTCGAAGGTTTTTCTTCTAACATTTTGCCAGTCCCTGTGGCTGGCATCTTCAGAGGACAGGAGTTAGAACTGTTGTTGATCTATGGCTCCCGGCGTGGTGTACTGGATAAAGTGATAGATCAGGACTCTGAAGAACACAATTCAAATTCCCACTCAGCCATTGAAACTGACTGTGAGGGGGGTGGAACTGGTAAAACCACTCCTTAAATATTTCACCTTGAAAACCTTGTTAGGGTGGCTATGTAAGTGGTTTCTGACTTGACAACATATAACAACAAATTGCTTATTTAAAAACTGATGCAGGGTTTACCATAAAAAACACACATCATAGCCCAAAATAGTGGCTGAAATTCAGTACATAAATTGCAACTAGATTAGGCCCACTGAATCAGTGGGTGTACATTCCATTGATTCAATGGGGCTGCTGTAGAAACTTACTACTAAATTTCAATCATTATGTATATTCATGCTGAAAAATTGAAGGCTAAATCTGAAATGTGATTACATAAAACGGTAGTTATATGTTTGATTTGGCACTATATATGTCCAAATTGTAGGCATCCTTCAGTCTCAAGAGACTATGGTAATGCTGTAAATGGAGGTCCTGGAGCAGCATCTATTGTGGCTGAAAAGGCGGTGGCCTGGTTCTTGCTTGGCTCCAGTCCTTCTTGGAGGACCATTCCCGGAGAGTTCAGCTTGGAGAGAGTGTATTCGCCCCGTGGCTCAGTTGCAGGATGCCGCAGGGCTCAATCATCTCTCCAGTGCTGTTCAATGTCTATATGAGGCTGCTGGGTGGGGTCATCCAGGGGTGTGGTGCTTCTTGTCATCAGCACACTGATGACATGCAGCTCTACATCTTTTATCCAACAGCACTGAGTGCCATGGCGCCCCTTGAGCGCTGCCTGGGGGCTGTACTGCAATGGATGCAGGAGAACGGACTGAGGCTGAACCCGGACAAGACAGAGGTACTGAGGGTGGGCACCCCTCCTATCAGTGTTTTGGGAAGCTCCCTCTCTTTTTTGGGGGGGCGGGGCGACAGCTTGAGGGTCCATCTGGACCCAGCGCTTACCATGAGTTCCAGATGGGTTCCGTGGTCCACACTGCCCATCTACATCTTTGTGGATTGCCCAGCTGTGCTCCTATTTTGATGCTGGGGTGCTCACCACTCTGGTCCATGAGTGTGCGCGTAATCTCGAGATTAGACGTACATGCACTCTACATGGGGCAGCTCTTGAGATTGATGTGGAAACAAAAAAATGCTCTAGAACACAGCCACCAGATTATTAATTGGCGGGAAAAATATCATCACATTTTCCCCACTGGCAGCCTTACACTGGTTGCCCATTCGTTTCCGCATTGACTTCAAGGTATTAATGCTTGCATATAAAGCCCTAAATGGTTTAGGACCTCAATACCTGACAGAGCACCTGCTCCCACCTAGCTCTACTCGTGTCACTTGATCTAGCCAAGCCGGGCGACTGAGGAGCTTGACCCCGAGAGAGGCCCAGATGGGGAGAACTAGAAACCAAGCCTTCTCGTCGGTGGCCCCTTACCTCTGGAACATCTTGCTCCTTGAGATTTGCCCGGCACCCTCGCTGGTAGTTTTTAAGAACAAGCTGAAGACTTGGTTCTTCAAGCAGGCCTTCCCCCCTTCCATTTCTTAGTTCCTTATGTCTTACCATCTTGGACTTTGTTTATCTCTAATTCTTGTTTTTCTTCAGACTGTAAGCCGCCCAGAGTAGATTAGTTAAATCTAGATGGGCAGTGTAAAAGCTGAAAAATAAATAAATAAATAATTCGAGAGTGACAATCCCACACTGAAGGCAAATACAATCCATCCCCTGTCCAGCTCCCTGATTTTGCTGGTTTTGGGACTGCCCTTTTGCTTCGGTCTGCTGAACAAGTGTCTCTTCAAATGCACTGCCTTCCTCCGGGCTGAACGTTCAGATGTCAAGGTTTCCCATCTGTTGAGGTCCATTCCTAAGGCCTTCAGATCCCGCTTGCAGATACCATTGTCTCGCAGCTGTGGTCTCCCTCTGGGGTGATTTCCCTGCACTAATTC